TCAGAAGGTTTTTTGGGTTTCTTTTCCTTAATGATTCGTTTCACCACAAGCCTGAAATTTTTTTGGAAAATGACAGATAACGCCTTAGCTTTTTGTCGTCAGTTTGCCTCAACGGAGTTCACAGTGAGAACTCTTCACTGTATGGCTCTGGGGGAGAGCGAGGTGATAATTAAGCACTTGATAACAGTTGTGAGGCGCTATGCCGCTCTTTTTACGCTTTTTGGCTTTTGGATGTTACAGAAACACGACAGGAACTTCTATATTTTTTTTGTAGAAATGTGACAAAAAAAGTTATGGCTGAAAACAAAAAGTCTCCAGGGGCTAGAATTGTTTTCACAGAGTTAATTTATCTCCAGTTTTTCTTTGTTTGTTTGTTTTCTGTTCTTTTTAACTGTCAGCACTGTAGTGTACATAATGAGTTTTGTAAAGGGGAAAGAAATACTTGTAGTGTGGTTTCTACTTTAAATATGAGCCTAGCTAATAAAAGGTTCAATGTATGACTTGATTCTCGTTGGTCTGGTTGTGTTTTCTCGACCGTGCATGACACTCTTGCGAGACTTTAGTGCAGGTGGGAGTCGATCCATTAAAGGTTGCCGCTTTAATCGTCAGGTGTGCGCCGACAGTTAATTTTTTTAACAGAATTTTTAACAGTTAATGTCTTTCTGTGTGGATGATTTCACTACCAGCCATCCGTGCTTCAGTTTTGAGTGAAATATTATGAATCTGTAATTTAGCTTTTAAATGAGTGTTCACTATAGGTGCAACCGTCGTTTGCATTTTTTAGTAAGCTTCCACAAAACGTCCTGCAATAACTGAATTTTTTTTTTGTCCACTTGGGGGCAGAAATATAAAACCGTCAACACTACCCTGACGTACTCTGAAAATGATATATTAAAAGTGAAAAGTGTTTGCAAACAGTGGGAGGCCTGATGCTAAAAAAGAATCAATTCAATGGACCCGAAAGACACTTTAAAGCTCCTTAGAAGTGAAGTCACATCCTTGGAATATCTGCAACTCTTTTCAAATACTAGCAGCCACTGTAAAGAAAAAAATACTACTTAAAGCATCTCTCATGTGTTAAGTGTAACTTTACACTTTAGCCATACGAGTCCTTTATAAGGCTTTGTGAATGTGCTTAAAACCTACAGACACTCATCTGACTTTGAAATTTGCTGAAAGCATCTTTCTTATTTTCAAAGCCATTCCTCCACCTTTGTCCAGCAAACACCTGCCTGTTTTCGGCTTCTGTTTCCCTGTTATGCAAGCCACCCCCTCACTGCAGTCTACGGCAGTGAGCTCAGCAGTTTTTAACGGTCCAGATTTGAGCAGACAACATACACAATGCAGTAGCTCTGTAATTCAAGGCTGCTGTGTGTCGGGTCAAATCCAGCTAAGGAGAGCCTTTCCTCCCTCCTCACTTCATCCTTTCCTGCCAGGGGAGCTCAGCTGACCTTTAAAGTGCAGGATCGAGGCAGGAAGTTGTTGCAGAGACAGTGAAATTAGTTTTGGATCATTCATGATAAACCAACTCGCTCAACAGTGAATGCACTCAGTCAGTGAGCGCATGGTATTCTTTCATTTAGTAAATTACTGCGGGTGCTATTAATTTTATTCTGTTCATTGCTTTTTTATGTAGCATGAAATGTGAACTAACCCTTATGTACTCTGCAGATAGGATAAGATGTACTATATTTATTGCAAAAGTTGGGAATTTCCTGTGTTGTAACAACCAAAATATTAAACATAACCTAAATAAATGGTTTATTAGAATAAAGTGGAACAGTTAAAACACAAATGATACTAAAATGAGTTAATTCAATAGGAAAAATACATTAAAGGAGCTCAATAAGTCAAGAAATAAGATTTAATTCAATAGAACTGTATGTAGAATGCTGAATATAATACATAAATACAAGTGCAAACAACAAAACTAGTAAAGCAAAAACTGCCAAATGGCATTAAAGAGAGGTATTGTTACATATTACACCACAAGATTGCTAATAAAGATGCACTATTGCTTCCCCATATTTAACTTACTGCTACTCTAATTACTCCAGTAAGAGAAACGTTTTCGCACGTTGGGAAACTGTACAAACCAAAACCAATGCAATAAGTAAATTTATTAACAGTAAGAACTTGCAGAAAAATGCCTTAGAACAGGTTAAAACCTGCTCCTTATAATGCTGCCTGTCCTACATGAGCTACTCATTAAAAAGTAAACTGAAGCTAGTTTCACAAACAGGTACAGTTATTACTTAACATAAACTGAACCAAAATGCAGAAGCAGTGTGTGAAACTCAAAGTACATGCTTACATCTTCCATTGGAATTAAGGGTTAGGTAGCAGGCAGGTGCTGCTAATTAAATGCTCTTGATTAACTGATCATCAGCAAGTGTGAGCACCTCTATAAAACAGACACACAACAGGCCTCAGTTAGGATGCGAAATATTCAAATGAATGACAGTACAACTAGAAAAAGGCTGAACACATATGGCTTATTTGGAGTCTCTTTGGACATCTGGACAATCCAAAAGACGTCTGTAACAATGTTCATGGACAGACGAGAACAAAATGGAGATGTTCGGTGAAAAACACACACCTCTTCCCGACTGTGAAGCACGGTGATGGAGGGATGTTGATTTGAGCTCCTTTTGCATCCACA